CACAGCAGCCGCTCCGGCGCCCGCGGGCCGTCGCACTCCTACGGGCAGGGGGAAGCTGGGTGCCAGCGCGGCACCGTGCCCGGCGCTGGGGCGGGCAGGGTAGGGCCGGGGTGGGGGGGTGACGGCCTCCTGCTCCGGCGCTTACCACGGCTTCGGTCCTCACGCCGCCGGCTTCAAAGTGGATCTTGGCGCGATACACCGAGTCCAGGTGGGTGCCGATGACGGTGAGTATCGAGCCCCTGCGGCGAGCAGGGGTCAGGGCTCCAGGGTCCACGTGGTCCCCAGGGCGCATGTGGTCCCTGGGGTGCATGCGGACCCCAGCACCTCGTCCAGCCTGGCCGGGGCGGTGGGGAAGCCAGTGCTGTTCCCCCCATGGGAAGGGAGCCCACGCACTCACTCATAGCTGCAGCTGGGATCGATGGCCGAAACGAAGGGGTCGGGGCGGTACTGGAAGGGCAGAGGGGCCAGGAACTCCTCCCCGTCAATCCACAGGGCCACCTGGGCTGAGCCCAGGCCACCGGTGGCGGGAGTCGTGCACCGAATTGCCTCCTCGCCCTGCCTGGGGACATGGCAGCCATGGCTGGAGGGCACTGCGGGGGGGGGTCCCATGCCCATCCCCGAGCCAGGGACCCCGCTGTGCCTGGTGGGGGCAAGGCAGGGGCGTACCTGGGCTGCCCGACCAGGGGGCACTCGGAGCCGTTGACCATCACCCGCCAGCTGCTCCCCGCTGAGAGGTGGGTGCCACGCAGGGAGAGGTGGGTGCCACCCCCCCGGGGGCCAAACGGGGGGTGCAGGGTGCTGATGCGGGGGTCCTGGGCAGAGATGGGGTCGGTGGCGTGGGTGGGTGAGCCAAACCCACCCACCCAAACCCCGGACCGCCAGCGCAGGGCCGTACCACGAAGACGAAGCCGCCGAGGGTGGCGGAGCCGTGGACATGGAAGCTGGAGGGTCCAGTGGGTTCCTCCACGGTGAGCACCACATCAGCCGGGCCCCCCGCTGCCTTCGGGCCCCCCGGCTCCAGCTCACACACCAGCACGTCCACAAAGTCCTTGCGGCGGGAGGTGGGCAGGGGCCTGTGGGGCGATGATGGGGGGTCAGCCCCAGGCCGGGGGGGGGGGGCAGCCCCAGACCCCTCTCTGCTGCTGTTTCCCCCCGTCCCTGGCACCGCCGCGCACCTGTGGCTCTTGCTCTCCTCCGGCAGCACCGTGCAGCCTCGCCGGCCCACCGCCACCCGGTAAGCACCGGGGGGGCTGTGGCGGGGGTAGAGGTCCAAGTGGGAGCGGAATGTCATGCCACAGAGCGTCACCCGCGTCCGGCCCCGCAGTGGGGCACTCCGGGGGTGGAACTGCGGGAGAGGCACCTGTGTCACCCTGAGCCCCAAAAGCCTGGTGACAGTTGTGGGTCTGGAAAGCCCCTTCCCCGGGGGGCACGGCACCCATCCCGGGGAGGGGGTCTCTGGACAAAGCAAAGGTCCCACGACGTGCCACCCCATTTGCCACCTCCCTCCCCATCTGAGTGCTTGGGAGATGTGGGGAGCGGGGGAGACGGCGGCGCAGACCTACGTCGGTGAGGACGGGTGGGCAGCTGTCCTGGACCCAGGGGCCGGCGCACTCGTGGCGGCGCGTGCACCCATCCCCGCACCAGCCGCAGCCCATGAAGCGCTCAGCTCGCAGGCAGCGCTGGCACGTGGAGAAGTGGCGGCAGCCAGGACCGGTGACGTTCAGGCGCCACACCTGAGGACAGAGAGCAGAGGCAAGCGGGGCACGTGGGGCTCAGCGCCCACTCTGGACCCCCCAGGACCCCCGCTCACCTTGGTGCCAGCAGCGAAGAACAGCGAGTGGCTCTGCAGCCCCATGGCACCCCGCACCGGCCCCGGCTCCCCCAGGGAGAAGTTGGCCAAGGTGAGGAGGTAGGAGCTGGAGCGCTGGAGCACCATCTGCAGCGGGGCAGAGCAGGGGGCTGAGCACGCCCCACGTGCCGCTGGGAGCACCCCACACCACCCGGCCCCCCCATCCCACCTGGAAGATGCGTCCCTCTGCTGTGCCCAGGTGGGCCACGGTGACATCCCCCAGGGCGGTGACGAAGATGGAGGTGAGGAGGACGCCGGCCAGGTGCCCATTGAACAGGTCCACCTTATGGGAGGCAGCGGGAACGAGGGTGGGCTGGTCCCAACAGCTGGTGTTGGCCACTGGTGCCGAGAGGTTCACCTGTGGCCAAGTGTGGTGTGGGTGCCTTGAAGCCAGCCCCAGCAGCCCAATCCCCCCATACCCTCGTGGGTGGGCACCAGCTCCAGCCACAAGATACTCTGGGGAGCACCTGATTGCCTAAGCTCCCTTCCAGGCTGGGAAAATTTTTGGGGAAAGAACACATCCGTAGCCCCTCCCACAGCCCCCGCACGGCGTCAGATCCTGCCCTCCCCTCCCACCCCATCTGGATGTGGTTATCCGTGCCGGCACCGCTCGGCGAGCACCCCAAAACCAGCGCACCCCGTCCCCAGGGCTCAGTGGGGGGCTGGGGATGAAGGGGGACCCCAGGCGCCAGGGGGTCCCCACTGGCCCCCCACCGATGCACGGGGGCTGGGGATCGCCCCCCGGCTCACCCTGCCAGTGGCGTGAGTCAGCGGCAGTGAGCCGTCTGCTCCGCGCACAGGAAGAGGAAGGGATTTGGCTGCACCTTGCCCCGCGCCTGGCTGAGAACTCCAAAACTCGTGTCACGGGTGCTTGCTGGGACCCTGCCTGCAGAGGGGGCCCTGCCGGGGTGCCCGCCCATCCCGCCCGTGCTGGAGCTTGTCCCTGGGACACGGCGTTCCTGCCCCACGGCTGCGGCAGACAAGAAACCCCGGTGACTAATTGCGCTTCCGCCTGCGGTTTATTTGCCCAGAGAAGGCGGTGGCCCCGGGGCCCGGGGGGGGGGCAAGGGAGGAGTGGCTGGGCCCCCGACGCACCCTGGCCAGGGAAGCACCGAGGCCCTGTGGCTTCCCAGTGTCCCTGGAGAGGGTGGCCGTCAACGACCCAGCGCCGGGGACAGTCACCGTGGGACCAGAGCCGGCGTTCCCCGGGGAAGCCACGCCGAGGAGAGGGACTTTTGGCCCGATGCATGGCAAGCAGTGGTGCGCCCATGCGCTGGGACATGTGTCTGCGGCACCCGGCGCGGGCGAGCACAGGGTGCGTGGGGTGGGGCGCGCAACCGGATCCATGCCAGCACCCTGCCTCCTCGGTGCGGCCAGGGTTGGCGAAACGCGGCGGGCCCTGCGATAGGCAGCGGGCGGCTGGCGGGGCTGACTCACACCTGGGTGACGCCGTTCTCCCCCCCCCGCCCCGGTCCACCCCGCTTTGCCAGTGCTTCCCGGCATCCCGGATCCACCTCCCCGCGTCCCAGCCAACCCCCAGGCCCACCGGGACAGACGCGGCACGGGGCGGAGGACTCACGTTGTGCGGGCAGTACTCCACCGGTTGGAAGAAGCTGAGCCCCCGCAGCAGCGGCTGGTGCCCGGTGCCGCAGCACTTCTCCATGCCCTCCTCTATGGCCTGGTTGAGGAGGCGGAGGGGGAAGGCGCAGACGGCCGAGTTCTCCCGCGGCACCCGGCTCTCCAGCCGGCTCTCGGCAAAGGCGCCGAAGAGCACCGTGTCGGTGTCATTGATGCCGAGGTCACGGGCCAGGCGGGCGCCGGGGCGGGCGGCGTGGGCTGCCTGCAGCACGTTGTAGGCGACATCCCGCTCGGCGTCCTCCTCGCCGCCGTGCCGCCGCCGCCGCCGCCGCTTGGACTCGAAGCGGCAGTCGAGGATGAGCTCGCGGTAGCGGCGGAGGGCGCGCTCGTGGGTGCTGAGCCGTGCCAGGCGCGTGTGGTACGCTGCCGAGCCCGGCCGCTCCGGCTGCACCGTCAGGAAGTAGACGTGGTCCCCGTCGGCGAAGGAGTGCACGTAGTGGATGGTGTAGTTGTCCCGGTATTGCGGCAGCACCGTCAGCCACTGGAAGTCGTCCGAAAAGCCGTCCAAGGTGCCCTTCAGCCTGCGGACGGACACCGACCGCGGGCTGTACCGTGCCGCCACACTGCTGTTGATGGTGGAGCCGAGGTAGAAGAAAGAAGCGTAGGAGGTGGCCACCACGGTGGCACTTGTCCCCAGGGGGCTGGCCACGCAGTCGGGGCAGGACGCAGGGCTGTTGCCCGTGGCCGAGTACAGGCAGTGCGTGGTCGTGATGGCCACCTTGCCGTCCCGCACCTCCAGCTGGTGCTGGTAGCACAGCCCGTGCCGCGCTGTGCCGCAACTGTACAGCCATGGCTCCAGCGGGTCCAGCATCAGCAGGACGTTGTCCGTGTCCTTGGGGCCGTCCGCGGCAGCCGGGCACAGGCGGCAGATCTCACACTCAGCGCTGCCCACCGGGCCAGTGACGAGGATGGAGAGGAGGCGCAGCTCGGGGCTGGCCAGCAGGATGCGGTTGCGGATGGCCACGAAGACGGCGGCCGGGCCGGTGGAGTCGGCGAAGACAGCGACATTCTGCACGGGGCTGCCGGCGTCGAGGCCAGGCAGCGTGTAGGGGACGGAGAAGTTCCTGGTGGAGCTGTAAGGGATGCGGGGGCACTGCCAGGTGTCGGCACCCAGCGGGGCCAGGGCGAGCGCCAGCAAGAGGCACACGCGGCATGACAGCCCCATGCTGCACGGTGCCGCCGGTGCGGGGTTATCGATGGTGCTCAGCACCGAGCGGGGTCAGGACACATGGAGGACGGGTCACCATTGCATCTGCAAAATGAAAGAGAAAGGGTTTTACCTGCCGTAGTCAGGTGAGGACCTTTGGGCACTGCCGCAGCTGTGTGTGGGGCAGGGGGTGCCGGGGTCCCCCGGGGCCAGCCGATGACGGGACCTACCGGGGAAGGATCGGCCGCACCAAACCTCTTCCCAAATACCGCAAGCAGGAGATGAAGCCAAACTGCCTGCGGCAGGGGGGGACAAATCCTGCCCGCTGCCGCCTCCCAGACCCTTACCTGTCCCCCGGAGGCATCCCTGCCCTGCAAGACCCCCCTCCTGGGGACTGGAATGGGGACCCTGCCAGCCCCCAGGGACAGGGACCCCGACGTAACCCCCGGGGCCGTGTCGTTCGTCCCGTCCCGTCCCGTCCCGTCCCCGCTCCAGCTCACCGGGGCCGGGAGCGGTTCCCAGCCGGGATCCCCGTCGGGTCCGGCTGTCCGGGACCGCCCCGTCCCGTCCGGTCCGGTGGCGAGCCGTGCCGGGCGGTGGGGCCCTCACCTGGGCGCTG